ATGGCTTTTCAAGCTAAAAATTTATTGGGAGCCATTTATCTTATGTTGTGGCTTATGCCGCTTCTCCAATCTTCACGCAACAACGATAAAATCATGACTAATGTGATAGCAAACTAAATTAGAAAGGGGTTACAACTTACAAATAAAGAACAACCCAAAAATTTTGGACATAAGACGTGCCACGTTCAAAGTGTTAAATGTCAATTTATCAAATATGGACCAAGCAATTTAGAGTGGGAGTCCCACTGCTTTGATTGATTAAAACCAATTAATTTACTAACTTAAAGGTTAGCTTGTGTAATTAATATTGCAAATACGTATCTACTCGATCTTCCAATCAAATGTTAGGTTTAGATATTGGCATTCCACAAAATTAGCATTCCCTTTGGACTACGCAATCAACAATGGGAGTTGTACATTTCACTCGGGATAAATGATTAACATGTTAGCATCAACTGAAACTATATAAAATTTTCCAAGAGTGAGGTTGTTTTTTGTCCCAAATAGGAAAGTTGAATACTTGGTTGATATGACAAGAAATCTTAAGTTGTTACGGAGTATTAAATCTATTCTAAGAAAATTAACGGGTGTCGATTAATATGAAAGGGATGGAATAAGATGCTTACAATTCTAAGATCTTATAATTAGGAGCTACGGAGTACGAAATATGTTTTCAAAAGGTCGTGAAAGTAGGTGAATATTTGTTTATGGGTGATCTCAATAATAAAAAGATTTCAAATTTTAATTAGATTTACACTATTAGGGGTCATTGATTTAAAATCAGATTGGATCAAACCAAATCAGATTGGACTAAAGTAAACCGAATTCAAATAAATAATATTTTAATAGTAAGATATTAGACCACCATATAAAATAGGACCATAACTGGAGTGAATGATAAAGGCTATGTTTGGCAAATGGCTGTTGGCTGGTTCACTTGGCTTGTTTGACCAACTGGAATGTTTGGTTGTTTATAAAAGTGTTTGGTAAATTAATTGTTGGTTGTTTATTAGATAATTTGTGGGCCAACAAGCCAAAAGCCAACAAAAAAAACTATTCAAAGCAGTCTTTTCATTTTGGCTTAAAAGCCAACTTTTTCGCTGACTAAAAAACCAATTACCAAACACATTTTTTGGCTGTTTGACCACCTTAATAAGCCAAAAGCCAAAAGCTAACCAAAAAGCCATTAAAAAGCCAATTACCAAACATGGCCAAAATCGGTCCAATTCTATATGGATCACTTTTGGACATTCTTCAAAATTTTCAATTTTCTTATAATAATATAAAAAATAAATCATTGGTAAAACGAAAGAAAAACAAAATTCAATGTTTTTTTTTTTTCAAAGTATAATATAAAATAGCTTATACGATTTAATTTACCTAAGCAGAAAATAAATCATATTAGACTAATTAGAGGTTTCTAGCTCAATTCAAAGATCGATTATTTTCGACATGGTTTGATCCATGTTTCTAATTCAGATCAAATTTTAAACACCACTATTAGAGTATTAGTACAATGACTCAACGATGTTTAGCCTAGAGGCAAAAACTGAATAATTGTGTACAATAGGTTACAAGTTCATCAAATCTCGCTTTCTTCATTTATAATTTGTGAAAAAAAAAACTACACCCTGTGTGTTATGCTTAGATTAACATTATCCATAATTTTATTTTCCACATTATTAATAAATATTGCATTGTATTGAAAACTTGATGAATGCAGTATGCAGAGCATCATTTAGTAAAAGTCAAAATTGGTGAATGCAGCAGATCAGAGCATCAATTTGAACTCCCAATGCATGAAAAAAATTGCATGGTTCATAATTTGCAGCAATTGCACCTCCCCTAGTTCAATCCTAAAAATCAAAATTCATGCAATTTTAGAACATAATTCCAAATTATTGTAATTGACATTTGCTGCTCTTGTCAAAGATTTGAAGTGACACATGAATATCATGAGGTAAACATATGGATCAATCTGGCATACCATCATCTAGACAACGAAATTGGTGAATAATATCTTTATATCAATATATGGTCCAACAACCTCAATTATATGTATTCATGTCTTCTAAGAAAATTCCAGAACTATTAACGTTTGTCCCCACATATATACTACTTCTCATTTAGCGGCTAGTGCGTTTGTTCTCCAAGTTTTTAGCGACCAATTGAAACTTGTCACGTTTACATACCAGTTTGTTTGGTATGATGATATATTGATATTTATACATAGAAGTATAGAACCCAAACACAACAAGTCTCGTATGAGGCAACTCCCTTGCTATATTTAAAGGGTCGCATTGAGTTTAGCTGATTTATTGTAAGACATGTTAATATTGAATATGGATAAAAGCATGACATAACACGCACATAGATAAACATTACATAACACACTAATATAAATCGTAGTTTAAACTTGGACCACATTTACGTGTAGCTCTTATTAGCTCACACTTTTTTCATTTTATGTGTTGTATTCCTAGTATTTAATTGTATTTTATGTTGTTGCGCGCGCCTATAAGTTAAGATGTCATAGATGTAGTCTTTGGAGTTTAGGTATCAAACTAAGATTCGACAATTGTCTGATCTTGTAACTACGATAGACTTGCCTTATTTTGTAACAGGAGTTTTCATTAACTCATTACATTATTCTTTGAAGTATTTGAACGGATGAATTGCCCAATAATCATTAGTATTCGGTTTTTTTTTTTTTTGTTTTGTTTTTTTTTTTTTTTTTTAATCTAGTATGTAATTATGTTCTATGTTTGTTGTGCCTATAATATATCATGGATGTATTGTTGGAAATTTAGGCACAAAATTACAATTTTACAATAGTCTAATAACAGGATGTTGACTTGCCTTTTTCCCTAATACGAGGCCATTAACATTTAACACATTACATGATTCTAAGAAATATATGAGCCGATGACCGATGTATTGCCTTATCCTATTCATTAGTATTCGGTTCTTTTTTACATACACAATTCAAGTAGCATGTATATGATTCATTCATTCAATTGATGTAGTACATGTTCATAATTTAAAATCATTATACCTTTTTCAAATTGCTTAATACTACCTCCGTTACAGGTTATGTACAACGATTAGATATTTTCCCTCTCTTCTTTATGTCAAATCGTTGCACATAACCTGTAACGGAGGTAGTATTTATATTTTCCGCTTTCGGATTGCTTCATTCTCTAAACGTTTTATGAACTAACTTACAAAGTTATGAATTTCTTATACATCCATCACAACTAGGGCTGTACACAGTTTGGTCTGGACCGTAACCAAACCAGACCAAACCGCATTTTAGCGGTTTGGTTTGGTTTACGGTTTGGTTTCGATTTTTTGGGAAATACGGTTTGCGGTTTGGTTTGGTTTTTCAAAAATTATAAACCAAACCAAACCGTAAACCAGTAAACCGCATTTTAATATTTATATAATTTTTAAATAAATTAAAATAGTTATTATATATTATAAAAAAAATAAAAAATGAAAAAAATGAAAAATCATTAGAAGACTATAAGGTCAGTATACTATTATACTCAATCTCAAATATCAATACTTAAAATTCAATAGGTCATACAACTATAATGTAGTATGAATTATTTTTTTGGACAATGTATTATGTTTTTTTCCACTGTTAATTTGTTATGTATTATTTTTATTATGTGTTATTGTGTTAGCACTTAGCACTTGATTAGTTGGTTGTTATTTTTATTAAAAATTTGTAGTATAATTCAATCCCTTTGGGCTAATTATTTGAACTTTATTATAAGTTTATTAATATTTGACAATTTTTAGGAAAAAATGTCGTCTCATCATAAACCGCAAACCAAACCGCACCAAACCGCATTATTACGCTTTGGTTTGGTTTGGTTTCAATACTAATATGGTTTGGTTTGGTTTGGAAAATTGACCAAACCGTATTTTGCGGTTTGGTTTGGTTTAGACTCAAACCGCACCAAACCAGACCATGTTCACCCCTAATCACAACTCTGTATATACATCCAGTTGTTGGGGCACATTAAAAAAAAAAAGTCAATTTAATTTTAGGAAAAATTGTCAGGAATTACTTGTTAAATAGGGGTATTTGGAAACAACTACCCACTAAAAAAAATTTATCAAAAAAACTACCCTCTAAATTTAAAAAGTTTGAGTAGCACTACCCATTTGCATTTTTCGACGAGAAAGTCCGGCGTATGGGGCCCACTTTTTCTATTATTCTTCTGAAAATTCCTAATTGAAGAAGTGAAAACAAGTAGGGTATGCAATTCATAGATAATTCTTCTCTTTTAATCTATTAATTATGAATTTTGATGTTAGGGTGTAACGATAAGAAAAATTAGGGTTCTAAGAAATTGAGGATAATTTAAAATTGGTTGAATTTATTGCTTTTAATTCAAATTGCTTATCTTAGGGTTACGAATTAAGATCCAATTTGTCATTGCATCGTGTCTTTTCAGAGAAAAATTGAAAAAGTGGGCCCATGCGCAGGACATTCTCGCCAGAAAATGCAAATGTGTAGTGTTACTCTAACTTTTTAAATTTAGAGGGTAGTTTTTTCGATAAATTTTTTTAGTGGGTAGTTGTTTCCAAATACCCCTATTAAGCGTGTAGTTCTTGATAAATTTTCCTTAATTTTATTAAACAGAATACAAAGTACATTAAAATATACAAACTGGTTTTTAAAAAAAAAATATATATATAAGCATTATCTTATCTATCAAAGGTCATGGGTTCTAATCTCCTACCCAATTAACAAATTTTGTTCGCCACTATATACATCACAACACCATACATACACACAAGCGCAGAGGTTATAAACATAATTTAATCTTTTGTTAGATATAAGTAGTATAATTTTAGATTTAATGCAATGAGCTAGAAAGATTGAAGAAAACCTGAAAAAGTTTTAGTAATTAACTTGTTCTTTGTTCCTAGAATACGAGGTTATAAACATAATTTAATTCATGGAATCATAGATGGATGCGAAGTTATCAACATAATTTTAATCTTTTGTTTTGTTTTTTTTTTTTTTCGCTTCATCTGTCTCGTTAAATTTTGTTCTCAAAAGGAGAGTACATAGCCTGCAGAGCCAAAGAAGAAGGCTCTAAAGAAGGGTTGCAACAAAAAATGAGTTTTCTCTAATCCTTAGTCTTTACACAGTGCCGCAGCTGCCTATATTCAACATTCTTTCATCTTCATAGAATTCGGTTTTTTTTATGGATAAGGACCCAAAAAGAGTACAGAAATGGCTTATCCGATAATTAGAAAAGTCATAAGACTCGAAAAAAGAAAATTAAAGTATCAATAATCCCTGTTTTCTTCAATTAATTGTAGGTTGATCATACTTAATCCTCTTATCCAAGGAGGATGATGAATAGTGAGGGTCAAAAGCTTTCCTGAGCTCTGTATACCTCTCGATATCAAAGTTATGGGTCTTCATAAGCCGCTTTTGCTTAGCACTAAACCGGCTTTGGTAGAATCCTTCGAATGAAGGTTCTTTAGCTGTCCTAAGGAAGAAGGTGTATCCAAGCATAAAGTAAACAGAAGTAACATAGAAGCAAATGGGCTCCATCACATCCCAAGATAGTTCCCAGAATGTGAGCCTCATGAAGGCCGCGGTTTGGACCACCATGTAGCCCAAACCAGCCCACAACTCCCGGCGGACTAGTGCCTCCGCCTTTTGGTCAATCTCTGCCTTTTGCTCCTCCAACAGCTCCAGCTCTTGCATCCGAGGATCGTTTGGGTCGGAAACAACTGCAGGTGTGACTAGGCTCTGAATGGCCTTAGCTACCTGTAATCAAAGAAATTGGAAACAAACAATATTTGGGTAAAACTTGATTTCATACTTACATTGGCCAATATTTTCAAAGACTTGATCTTTTAAGACAGTTTGACAACACAAAACACGTAATAACAAAGTAAATTATTACGTGCACCAAAGAGCACATATATTTCAAAACAATTTGGTTACAATTTGTCCGATCACATGATGGCGAATAGGACCAACAAACAAGACTCCTTTTCTTGTATAACTTTTTTACGGAGTAAATGAAAATAACGTATTAGAATTTTCCATTGTATTATTAACAGGTTTCTTAATGGTTTCGTTTTCTTTACCTTTATTGACTACTAACAAATGATTGTAAAATGGACAGAAATGAAATTTTTTAAAAAATAAAAAATAAAAAAAAAAAGTAATGTGAAATGTAACTATAGAATATGCAAGGATGATGATGTTTTTAAGGTCGCTTTCTTGCAAAAGGATCTGGCCCAAGATCATGGGGAAATTGGCTGATGGAAGCAATTAGTGACATCAATTATGTATGATTAGATTAATTATATGATTTTTCACATAAACTCCAATAATAACCTTCCTTAATTTTAAATAGTTCATACTAATTATAATTAGTCATTCATGACCAAAAAAATAAAATCAGTCATCACGATTTTGTTTCATACTCCGTACTAATTACAGTATAATTAGTCATTAATTACCAAAAAAAAAAAATCAGTCGTCACGATTTTGTTTGCAATTTTTTTTTATAAGAACATTTTCTTTATTAACGACATAAAAAAAGCCTTAAAAATTGTTTTTCTGTTGAAGGTAACACCGACTTTATATTAGCTGTCATCACATATCTCTTGAAAAATCCATTATGATGTCTAGTAATCCAGCAATTTAAATAAAACCAGCACTCCAAACATATTTAAAAAAAAAAATTGAATTTCTTTTTAGAGATTTAAAAAAAAATTTAAAAACATTTTGTAGGATATCAGCAAATAAACTCTTTTGCAAATCAAGATCAACAGTAAATTTTCCTTTTTAAGAGATTAAAAATTAAATTTGAACTGTTTGTAGGAGATAATTTCATTTCTAAGTCCCAAAAATAAATCATCTCCAACATTTTTTTTTTTTTTTTTTTTTTTATAAATAATTTCCTGGGTGGGGGAGGGGTAGGGAGGTTAATTGAAATTTTGTTTTTTTTTTCTCTCATAATATATAAATAAATAATTAAATAAATAAAATACACTTCTTTTTTTTTCATCCGTTCCTTCCTCCCTCCCTCTTTGGCTTTTTCCTCTCAAATATTATTTTTTTTCTCCCTTCCTTACTCCTTCGAGAAACGTTACCAGAATGCTAAAAATTTGTTCCACAAACGATAAAATAGATGTCAATAGTGGAACCCTTTTAGATCTGGCGTACCAATGTTCTAACTTCCTGTTCATAACACAATCCAAAATAAAAAAAAAAAAAAAAAAAACACATAATAAACTCATCAGTTCCCATTCAACATTTCAAATAATCAATCACAACTTCAACAATTCAATCTAATATTAGACTTTGTTCGTCATCGTTATGAGTTTTCACATTATTAATCAAAATTCATCTAACAATATATATTAACTTTTAAAAACTACTGAAAACTCGCAATGATACCGAACGAACCCTAAACGATGATAAAATTGAAATCGAAATAAAATGAGAGGATTGGAATTTGTAACCAACCTGATGAGGACGAAGGCAAACAGCGTTTCCAAGAACAATAACAGAACCGCTATCATCTAAACTCTTAGCAAAAGAAAACGCTTGATCTTTATTACCACCAACACTTTCCTCAATTAACTCCATAAATTCCTCATACGTTACCCAATCTCTCTCAACTTCGTTCAACTTTGATCTTATCAATTCAACTTGCGACGCTCTCAACACTTTTCGAACCTCACTCGCCGATAATCCTACCGGCGATTCCTCCTCACGCGCCGCCGTTGCCCTCGATTTCTCCGGTAACGGAATCAACCCGCTCAATCGAATTCGATCTTTTGCGACGTTTAATTCCTTTAGTTTTTCGACGAGATTTTCTCCCGTCGGAGGGAATAGCCGGAGCGCCGCCGATGACGGCGGCATCGCGGCTTGGTAGAGTGGACGGCGTTGCATGTTACGCTTTATTCTAGAAGGTTCGGGAGGCTCAGAGGGTGGTTTTGCGGCGGTGGTTCGTGATATTGAAGGTGTTGAGAATCGTGAGAGATTGAATAATCGTTGTACTAGTGTTTTCTTGAACGCCATTGTTGTTTATGAGAGAGAAATTGATTGAATGAAAAATGGGAAATCAGTGAATTTAATCGGTTTTTTTTTTTCAATTTTTGTGGGTTTTAAGTTGAATAGAGAGAATAGAGATCCGAATGAAAACGGAAGGTTTGAATGTAAAATGTTGGGTAGGCTGCGAACCTTTATATAGGTCCCATAGGTTAGGAGATAAATAAGACAACCCAACAGTTTAATTTTATTTTTTTTTTAAAAAAAAAAAGAAAAGAAAAAGAAAAAGGTAATATGGAATTTATGACGTAAAATTATAAAATTGATTTTGTACTTTTGTGTATTGGGACCTATAATAAGTTTGTGGTACAATAAGCTTATAGGGGTATCTATGCTTAATTACTTAAGTTGGAGTTACGTTTTTAATGTGTTAAAACTTTAAATGGATATCTCAATGTACCAAACCACCAATGGCAATAATTAACTTAAGGAGTTAAGGACCTCAGGGGTGTTTTATTCATCGGATTTTTTTTAATAAATCATCGAAATTTATTTTATTTTTATTTTTACTCGGATTGTTTCTCTTAATCTTGATTACTTTGTATATTTATCTAAATTAATTTTTACTGAAATTATCTTATCCGTTTTTATGGACCTTTTACTTGTAACTTGAAATCGAATTGTCTTCTTTACTTTGATTATTTTATCAAAACTTATGTCATTTTAACTCATCTTATCCAACCTTATTAACACTTAGTTGTAATTAGGGTTGTGCACGGTGCGGTTTGGTGCGGTTTGTGATTTTTCAAACCGCACCAAACCGCACCGTAAAATACGGTTTGGTGCGGTGCGGTTTGCGTTTTTTCCATAATTTTTTTACCTCACAAATAATGATTATTTGCTAATCTTTTGTTATGAAATTTTTACTTAGAAACTGTACAACTATGCAAATAATTCAATAAAGAAGTAGTGCTTTACTTCAATGTTAATAGTGACCCAGTAACATGCCAAGGCAAACATGGAGCAAAATCATTAAGTAAACCACAACCACTCCATTACAACTCCAAAGCACAAGAAACGGAGAGTAATAAGAAAGGAAAACTTTGGTTTTCTTAATAATGACCCACACAATTCAGTACATATAAATACAATATAAGAGTCTTCTTTCCATATAAGAGTCTTTGCATTAAATTGCGGTTTGGCTTGAAATTTTTTTGAAACCGCACCAAACCGCAAAACTGTGGTTTGGTCAAATTTGAAAACCACACCGTAATTTCCAAACCGCACCAAACCGCAAAATTGCGGTTAAGTTTGCGGTTTGGTGCAGTCTAGACCGTACTTTGCACTGCCCTAGTTGTAATATGAACTCAGAATGTGTTTTCTTAAAATTGATTAAAGTTTATCTATCTATAGATATATTTGTTGAACTCATCTCATTTGAACTTATTGACTGTTATAACTTGATTAAATTTAATTAAAATTATTTTTATTTGAATTTAACCTTTATTCCGATTTTTTTTTTTTTTTTATACAACTATATCATTGGTTCAAGACTCAAGAGTGGAGAGAAAAAAATTAATTAGGAATAAATATTTAGCGAATATTCTGTTATGTATATGGCTATGTGCCATTATGCTCCTAAGTGGGGTAAGGCTCTCCGTATAATTGTGGATTAGCAAATTAATTTCAGGGTATCACGAGAAAAAAAATCAAGTTTAATCAATATCCACGTGTTAGGCAGAGATCTTGCCAACCCTCCACCGTCCGATTATTTCTTACTATTGTATAATTATATGATGTGGACTCCTAGCCGTTTGATTGAGTGTACAAGGGAGGATAACTTTCTTCTTCTTTTTTTTTTTGAAATAAAGGGAGGATAACTCATGTAATACACGTGTGACAATGAAGAGAAATTGTCAATGAAGATGGAGCAAAATACCATTGATCGTAGAGGATAATTTTAATTAAATAATAATCAAATTGTATGATAAATTGTATGATTATGACGTGGAAATTGAAAATGCTGACAAGGATAATTAATAAAAAAGGGTAGTAGGCAGCTAAGACTTGAATTAAATTTTGCTAATATTTGATAGGATTACAATAAAATCATAACAATTTTTTTAATATTTAATGCAAAAACGTAAACGTGTCGCCACATATTCTGTTATATCTCTCACTAATTTTCACACTTTAACAGTCTAGATTAATTATCTTTTACTTTTAGTAACCAATAAGGAAAGAATTAACTCAAAAAACGTTGACAGGAAAATTTAGGAGAGTAATTAATGTTTTGAATTTTTTTTTTTGCCTAAACTTGTCGCCGCGTAATTGCCACATTGTCAAGTAAACCTACACCAAAGAAAATTAATTTACAAAAATTAGAAAAATTCTTCATTATTTCTTGGGAAAAGTATAGAGAACAAAAAGGGGGGTTTGTTTAGAAGAAGAGTTGGCACCTTCACCAAGTATTGCTTGCTATTTTAGAGTAGAAAAAGTAGTTGTGATATGGGGAAGGCTTGCTAGTTTTTAGTTTCAAAATGCTGGCCTTACTTTGATTTGAAGTTGACAAATGTGCTACATATAATATGTGATGTCTGCTTATGTCAACTACTATTCAAAAAATTAAAACGGTGCAAACTGTATAAGATGAGGAATAATGAAAATGATATATACAATCTTTAAGACTACGTACAAGAAGATTAAAATAGAATATTAAGAATTGTCAAGCATAATTACAACGATCAATGCTTGATTTTGTCATAAATTCTAAACTTATACTATCAATTTAGAAAATATTATTAATTAATTATTACTGTATTATTTTTATATAGATAGTTGTCATGAGGGTTTGTTGAATCTTGTAAAAAGTAAGATTGAAGAAACATAAATTGGGGGAAAAAACCCTTCATGTGGAGGTTATGAATTTAATAATGTATTAAGGGAAAAGGACAATGAAAGGAGAAATTATTCTGTGGAAGTTGTTGAAGATTGCAATTCACATTATTGCTTGAATTTTAGTGATTGTAAACATGAAATCCCTCTAAAAACTCTAGCTAGTCGAAATGAATGAAGACAGAGACTATGTTGAAATGCATAAAAATCATTGTTATCTAAACTAATAAACTCTTACTTAACAATAATTAATTTTGTAAGATTTTTTACTATACATATGCTTATTTTAATATATATCCTGCTCCAAATAACTTAGCATCATGGGGGTTTTGTTGCCTAAATAGCGAGCATTGATTTTGATCGAGTTAGAATATAATAGACATGTTATTAGCTGCTTTCGGAAATGCATATCATCTTTAATTTGGGTGTGAGTTTCTTAATTAGATTCTAGATCATACAAACTTTACTCCATATTTATAATTTAAAATCTTATACATCTCCATATTTAGTATTCGCAGACTGTTTAATACGGGTAATTTCTTTATGCAATAAGGGCTGTCTTGTTATTGCAACAACTCAAAGTCATACACTGATACACATGTTAAGAAAGTCGCTAGCTTTCCTTTTTTGGGTTGTAACTCGCTCCATCTATGTAACGGTGGTTTTCGAAGAAATAAAGTTACGTTCCTATAACTCTTATTGGTTAATAAAAGATGTGAATATAACTAGCATATGGATACTCAATCTGTTAAAGAAGATGGATTGTGAGGAAATTGAGTTCACTATTTTTGAAGGGCAAAGAAGAAGCCACTATTTTTGAAGGACAAAGAAGATCAAGCCACTAGTACGTACACAATTCAAGTGATATCATGAACAACTATGTTTGATGCCCTTTAAAGTGTGTGCATTGGTCTTTTATCCGTTTAGTTATTATTCGTTTAAGTCATCTTACCTCGTTTGAGATGTACATAATATTTAATTTGAAAGAAACTCTATGACCCAACGTTTCATCTTTTTAACGTAGATTAGGCTTTTGATTAATAAACTTGTATTTTAGCTATTGTTAAATAAACATGTGATAATTAAATAAAAGCCTACACTGGCCACTATTCTCATGTGAAAAGAATTTATTATAGAATATCCTTGTAGCTTAGGCATATGCAAATTTGAGCGAGGTATGAGTTCCTTAATGCCAATTAGTTGGGAGTATTACAAATATAATACGTGTATGTGACAATGCAATGCTTAGCTTGTAGGCTTGTATAACGGCTCTTTCATTTTCTTCTCGAAAGAAAGAACGCATGAGTGCCATGAGCAATAGTTTTGATACAACGTTTAATAATAGCCCTTCCAAATATCATCACATGTGTCTTATATTGGTTGAAAAACAGAGAGTTAACCAAACCACATTATAAAGCTAAGAGATTACTTCTCTTATTAGACATAGAGATAATAATAATAATAATAATAATAATAATAATAATAATAATAATAATAATAATAATAATAATAATAATAATAATAATAATAATAATAATAATAATAATAATAATAATAATAATAAACCGACCCTCTCTCAACCAACCAACCTATATTATTATTATTATTATTATTATTATTATTATTATTATTATTTAACTTTTTTTATTTATGGCAAAGGTGGTCAATCAAGTTAAAATTCAAATAGGTACATAAGTTTATGAAACCAAATAGGTACATAAGTTTATGAAACCAAATAGGTACGAGTACGTAAATTCGATTACTATCCTAGCTTCACCTTATAGGATAAGACGTTTTTTTTTTTTTTTTTTTTTTGTTTGTTTTGAGAGAGAGAATAGGATAAGACGTTTGACACTTCAAAAATCAAAACAATTATAAAGTACTTGAAACAGTGAAAAACTCAAAATGGTTCATACGTAAATGAAAATTATAATGTTGTTTATTTAATACAAATTGTAAATGAAAATTACGGGGTTTAGACTTGACCTTGAAAATTAAAAAAAAAAAAAAAAATTAAAAAAAAACACAAAAAACAAAATCCTTGTTGATGGCCACCAACAACTTTAATTTTCATTATCATTGTTAGTTTTGTTCTAAGTAACTCGGAGAGTTTGTCAGACTGACCGAACATTCTCACAATCAACGATTCTAATATATACATAAAAAGGGTTTTCCTAAGCTATGTCCCCAAGGTTATTGAATTTTTAAACTGTACCCACGCTTTTTCAAAGTTATAATCTGTGCTCTTCACTTCACGATATTTTATCAATAATACCATTTGACAGCCATATCCCTTAACGGAAGTTAAGTTATTTTA